AACCATGAATACACTTAGTCATTTAAAAAGAAATAATTACGATTCGCACAGGGCAACCTGATAAAACTGGGCAGACTATTATTCTAAGGTTGAGTAATCCAAGAATGGAAAACCTAACACCGTAATTTTCTCAGTCACATGTGGGCTTTAGCTATGAGAATGGCAAAAGGGGCATAAGAATTGATACACTGGACTATGGGGACTGGGGAAAGGTTGGGGATAGCGAGGGGATTAAAAGGACTACAACTGGGTTACAGGTGTACACTACTTGGGATGGGTCCACCAAAATTCAGGGAAACTCACCCCCACTAAAGTGCCTTATTCATGTAATCAAGGTGTATATATGTATATGTGTGTTTGTGTGTGTATATGTATATATACATACACACACCACATTTTCTTTATCCACTCATTAGTTGATAGGTATTTGAGCTGCTTCAATATTTTTGCAATTGTGAATTGTGCTGCTACAAACGTGTGTGCAAGTATCTTTTTCGTATAATGACTTCTTTTCTTCTGGGTTAATACCTAGTAGTGGGATTGCTGGATCAAACGGTAGATCTACTTTTAGTTCTTTAAGGAATCTCCATACTGTTTTCCGTAGTGGTTGTACTAGTTTACATTGCCACCAGTAGTGTAAAAGTGTTCCCTTTTCACTGCATCCGTGCCAGCATCTGTTATTTTTAAATTTTTTTATTATGGCCATTCTTGCAAGAGTGAGGTGGCATCGCATTGTAGTTTTGATTTGCATTTCCTTGATATTTAGTGATGTTGAGCATTTTTCGATCTGCTTGTTGGCCTATCTTGTTGGTATATCTTTTTTTGAGAATTGTCTATTCATGTCCTTAACCCACTTTTTGATGGGATTGTTTTTTTCTTGCTGCTTTGTTTGAGTACTTTGTAGATTCTGGATATTAGTCCTTTGTCAGATGTTGTTTTTCTTCATCTTTAATTTTTTTTTTCCCCCTGAGATAGGGTCTTGCTCTGTCAACCAGGGTGGAGTGCAGTGGCATGATCATGGCTCACTGCAGCCTCGGCCTCCCAGGCTCAAGTGATCCTCCCACCTTAGTCTCCTGAGTAGCTGAGGCTACAGATGTATGCCACCATGCTTGGCTAACTTTTAAATTATTTTGTGGGGAGTGTCGGGGGCGGTCTTACTATGTTGCCCAGGCTGGTCTCGGAAACTCCTGGGCTCAAGTGATCCTTTCGCCTCAGCCTCCCAAAGTGCTGGAATTACAGGCGTGAGCCACTGTGCCTGGCCAATCCTTAATTCTTTTTAATTTTATTTTTTTAAAAAAGCAAGAAACCAGCAGAGAGACTTAATTCTTCAACTAGTTTAATAACACTCAAAGGGAAAGTTTAGAAATGTGATTTTTTTTGTTTTTGCTTATAAACATACATTTATATGTTTATTTATTTAAATAGTAGAGTGAAAATAACAAGATAGAGTGAATTCTTCCTAGGAGGAAATACTTCATGTATTGAGGGTGGAGGTAAAAACTTTCTTCCATTGAACACATTTATAAATGGTTAGGTGTTATTGAAATATTGTGCATAGTACTCAGCTTCAAGAATGATATAGTTAAATAGATTTAATACCCTAACTTACCCAGTTTCTTTGAAACTTAACCCTTAGGTTTTGGTCCTCCTTTAATATTTGAAGGCGATAGATCACAGAGTCATAGAATTGGGAAACTGATAGGTGATTTGTCTGTCCTTGAAACTTGGCAGATTAGTATCTTAAAAAAATTAGCATTGATACCAACATGCAAAATTTCTCCAGTCACCAACAGTTAACGCTGTTTTGTTCTAGTATTTTCAGCTGTCCACAGGAAATCTACTCTATCCCAATATGTCTAACACGTGAAGTGTCATTTTTGTCTCTCTAGCATTTTTAGTTTCACCTTTTAAATTTTTGTCAAAAGAATCATTTCTGTTATTGCTTTGGGCCGAAAACTGTATTGTCATCTTTGATACAAGTTTCTTATTAATTTGTATTAGATCTTTCAGAATAGCTCTCTTAATTGTCATTTCCTTTCCCTTTCCATATGACTTCCCTCATTCAGGGTCTTTTCATCCTACTGTTGGATAATTACAACTGCTTCATGTATGGTCTGCCTCTAGTCTTTCCTTCTTCTAGTGGACCCTGAATACCACTGAAAGAAAAATACGACTGTAGTTCCAGCCATGCTCAAGAATCTGAAATGACTCCCTGTTATCTACCTCAGTCAGTCCAAGCCCTGTTGTCTGACTTTTAAGCCTCTCTTTTTTTTTTTTTTGAGACAGAGTTTTGCTCTTTTTGCCCAGGCTGGAGTGCAATGGCGCAATCTCAGCTCACCGCAACCTCCGCCTCCCGGGTTCAAGCGATTCTCCTGCCTCAGCCTCCCGAGTAGCTGGGATTACAGGCATGTGCCACCACCCCGGCTAATTTTGTATTTTTAGTAGAGACGGGGTTTCTCCATGTTGGTCAGGCTGGTCTTGAACTCCCGACCTCAGGTGATCCACCTGCCTCGGCCTCCCAAAGTGCTGGGATTATAAGCGTGAGCCACCGCGCCAGCCTTTTTAAGCCTCTTTTAACTTGATCAGTCATATTTCCAACAGTACTTACTTTTACACCTTAGCACAAGCTCTTTGGTTAGATTCTTCAAAGTCTTTTAAATATTGTATTGTCATACCCTCCTTGGCACTCTTCTTATTGCTAGGAAAGTCCTCCTTCTCCTGTATGTCCTTTAAAGCAGCAGCCCCCAACCTTTGGCACAGAGACATGTTTTGTTCTAGACAATTTTTCCAAGGACATGGGGAGCAGGGGATGTGTTGGGTAGAAACTATTCCATCTCAGATCATCAAGCATTAGATTCTCATAAGGAGCACACAATCTAGATCCCTTGCACGCACAGTTCACAATAGGGTTCGAGCTCCTGTGAGCATCTAATGCTGCCGCTGATCTGACAGAAGGTGGAGCTCAGGCCATGATGCTTACTCTCCTGCTGCTCACCTCCGGCTGTAACAGGCCACGAACCTGTACTGGCCCATGGCCCAGAGATTGGAGACCCCTGCCTTAAAACCCAGATGAGTTCCCCCCTCCTCAAAGCCCTTTCTTTACTGTTCAGATTCAAATTGTTCTCCTGTTTTTCTGAGCTCTTACTTGTACTCACTGTTGGACCATGTGGTAAATAAGAGGTAAAATACAGCATAGTGGTTCAGAGCATGAAGTCGAGAACCAGACATGGGTTTAGAATCTACACTTTTAGATTCTGGCTCTGCCATTTACTACTCTGTGACCTTGGCCTAGTTAATTGACCGCCTTGTGCCTTAGTTTCCTCATCAGTAAAAAAGGGATAATAACTGTATCTACCTCATAGGGTTACTGTAAGGATTAAGGATGAATGTATTTAGAGTAGTACCTAACGTAATGATATAAGTGTTTGCATTATAATCAGTATCACTAAGCACTTGTTTATTCTCAGGTATTTTTGTTTTTTTTGTTTTTCATGTATAGTATTTTTATTTTTCCAATTAGATAGTAAGCTCTTTTAAGGCAGAGTGTTACATCTTTTGTTTCAGTCTCATTTTTCCTGGTAGTTATTCAGCAAAACCCATTTGCTAATTTGATTTCTCTGTAGCCTGCGTTCCTGTATAAAAACCTTTAATAAGCTCTTTCTTTGAATGAGCTACTGAGGGAGACATTTGGAAAGAAAAATCCATGAATAGTTACAAGAATTCACCTTCCTGGGGTCAGAGGGCTGGTAACAACCTATAACAACTTCCACATTATGAGGTAACCTCTAGATTTTAGTTTAAACTGGGAATATTTTGAGACAGAAACGAGGAAAATATAGTTTTGGGTTTTATGTAGAAGTAACTTTAGTCTTTTTTTT